ATAATTTTGGATGATCTTAATAGTGATGACAATAAAACTCCTCAATATCTTACTGAGGTTGATATCAGTTTGTAATCAAAGAAAACAAGCGCGCAATGTATGCAATCTATGGGTACGCGACTTCTCTGCCAGTTACATGTCGCACTGACTGTTCAGACTAAGTTGGTTGTAATTGGCCGAGCAATAGAAAAGCCAATATAGAGATGTCATGAAGTAATCAACAACGGCAGCAGCAACATAGCCCGTTTTTATGTACTTTCAAAACATTTTGAACACTTACAAGAAGCGTAGTTGATTTTGTGAAGATGTTTGCCAATGCCCACAATCAGGTCACCTTTCTGACTACAGAAACAAATGCTGGTGGGAGTGGCATTCAGTTTGATGACACGCAAGAGTCTATTGGCCTCGTCCCAGATTCTCACGGAGCCATCAGCACTGCATGACGCAAACAGCCTCATCTTGGAGCAGCTGGTCAATCCCGTGACGTCATCCATGTGATCAGAATCACTGCTATGATCAAACCGTTCTAAAAAACAATTTATTCAGCACGTTAGTAAAATGAATGTTTTGTGTTCCCAGCAAATACATGAAGGAAAGACGAAATTGTATCAAGCCTGTTTGTGCACTGCAACATAAATAGACATAAATAAATCAACCACCCAGTTATGGTTTGTTAAGGAAAAGACATTCTATCCAGGGGGGAGTAGAAATACTCCTAGTCCCTTCGTGCTAGATAGAGACCAGAGATAAGCGCCGGCCTGGTGGGCCATATGCCTTGTATGCAGAATTTACCTATGACCTAACGAGGTTACAGTGACAAACCTTCAGGCAATAGCACAGAAGGACGACCACAAGCACATTTATGTTGTTTGATTTGGAATAGCAGAACCGTTTACGCGTCTGTAAAACATACGCGTAATTATTGAGATCTGACACATGTAAAGCGAACGTTCAGTCAGTGCAGTGCTTTTGTATAATATATTACACAAAATCTTGTTACTTACTTTTTTGAGTGGTTTTAAAGACCACAATGTTATATGAAGCTGTGGATGGTTCGTGGAATGCGGCGCACAGTTTGTGGTGAGCCACGGACAGGAGTCTGGGGGTCTCATGACAGTACAACGTCATCAGAGGGGCCAGGGCCTCCTGAGCGAATGGGTAAAGGCGCCAAATCTTGATCACGCGGTCTGGAAGGAAAAATTAGCGCATTGCTTTGATTAGGTTAATAAACAAACTAAGAGAAGGAGCTGAAAATAAACAATTGATGCATTTATTTAGAGATTCTGATGCCAACTGAACATAAGATTGTTTGGTCGAGTAATATCTATTTTTCAAGTCCGGAATATCCGAGGAAAACAGGGCGAAATTATAAAGAAAGCATCACAACTACAAGCTTTTTTACACGTATGCGTGTACGCTTGGCGTTAAGCGGGTAACAACAACCACATGCTCTCCATGACAGAAAAAAAAAAAATTTCTATCATCGAGTTATGTCGAAGCGAAGGCAACTGCATGTATGCTTCGTTGAGATTGCCCAAGGAAACTAAAACCATCTGTTTGAATTAATAATAAAAACGGCCTAATACATGCCATGCGATGGAACCGAAGAGGAACAAAGAAATGGCTTAACATGAACAGGATTATTAAATAATATTCAATTTCTTGCACTTGAGGTTTAAGAACAGAACTTCCAAAGCGGCTTCGTCATCTATCCGTTAATGACAGCCATATCAAAAGAAAGCAGGAAAAATCATGAAAGCGTTGCGATGCTACTTGTACATGTATATAGCTCGTGTAAAGACAAATTTCTTTGCTGTTTGTTCCACGCTACCATGTTATCCAGCCACGTGACAACAAAATACGCTGTTGTTTCGCAGTAAATCGAGAACAGAAAGGTTAGCGAATGCTCGCGATGAACTGCGGGGAAAACGATTGATGATGATTTTGACGTAAAAAAAAGGGTAAATGCGCGCGCAGTTTAGGTTATATTGTGCGTGCAATGGGTAGCGGTTGCACGTTTTTTTTTATAATGAACATTTTCGAAGTTATTGACAAAACAAAGAATTTTCGACTCACCCAGACCAGCGGAGATGACTTGATCAACTACTGGATTAGCTACTATGGTTATCACCTCGTCTCTGTGTGCCTGAAAAAAAAGAAAAAAAGATATACTTGACATCCCACTCTGAATGACTTACAAACTCTACAATGTACGTTTTCACGTTTCAAAAACATTTTAGTCTGTTGAATGGTTCGCACAGCTTTTCTGAGAGTACTATTTTGAGCGAAAGTTCGCTACAGTTTGGAGGGAAACATTTTGTCACGTTTAATATTCCAACAAGAAACAATTGCTACTGCAATCATTTTAATAAAGGACGTTTCTCGCGTCAATAAATGTTAATTATCAAGGTTTTTTTCTTTTTTCAGTGAGAAAAGTGCGTATGTAAATAGAACCGAAAAAAGGATTTTTCTCTCGTAACAGGGAATATCTGAAAGCGCACTGGTTCTTTCACAAACAGCTTCACCTCAATTTGAAAGGACACTTTGCCGGGAGTCTTTTCGTTCTGCCAGTCAAACAAGACAATCATGCCATTTACAGAGCCACCGAGCAGCAGGGTTCGGTCATAAGCATTAACACTCTGTCCTTGATTCTCAAGTTCCTCTGCTCTTTTCTTGGTTTTCAGGTTGGTGACCAGGTCTCCCCACGAATCGCCTTCAAGCTCGTCCTACAAACAGACAACAAGTCATTTAGTAAGTTTGGATTCATTTCTTTTAAAAAGACATTCTATACTAGTTCTTAGAAAGTCTCGCAAAAT